CCTTGGTATATTATTCATATCTTATTGGTGTTGTAGATGGTTAATGGCTTATTAGCTAAGTTGCTCGGACTCCATGAATATTGCCGCACCCGTGTCAGATCCTTCAAAAATACACTATTTTTGGAGGATCCGACACGCACCCATCGACATCTTTGAAGAGTCCAAGCAACATAGCTTATTAGTATTTGGTATGTAAGAACCTTGAAACAAGTAGTTGTTGTCTTGTTCACCTGTAACTCCTATTGACTGGTTTTCCATGACTTGTGAGAATCTCTGTTGCTCAGACTCTTCAAAAATGTTGAAGAGTGTGTTGGATCCACCAAAAGTAGTGCTCTTTTTTGGAGGATCCGACACGAGTGCGGCAACAATTTTGGAGAGTTTGAGCAACTTAGGTGAGGATTTTATTCAATGCACAAGATAATTAAACAAAATTATGTGTCCTGTTTCTAAAGCCAAGTGATCATATGTGCATTTCCTTGTGCATCTAGGTGTGTCTAGTACATTTCCAATAAAGGCAGCATGAAAAGCACCTATATTATTTTCTGTATGAGGAAGGACGACTAAGCAACTATGCTACTGTTGGCACCCCAAACTAAAAACTACAACTATGTATTATGAGAATGGCTATTCAATTAGCTGTTGAAATATGTGTGCCTCATTGATTGTTGATGTAGGTTTAGAATGCTCCACTAATTGATCAAGGACTGGCAAGTTGGCAGCAAGCATTTCCTCCCCTCTTTGTCTGGAAACGCTTGTCAGTGCTGGCACATGTGGCAGCGCCTCTGGAACCGTCATTCTGTAGGTGCATTTGCTTTAGCTTGAGTGCTCCTTTGACTCGATCTTTAATTGAAGTAATAGCATTATGAAAACTCTTTCAGAAATTCAGCTATTGATTTGATGATCTCTATAGGACGTGGTCAGATTTACTTATTAGGGACAGAAAAACCGGCAAAACACAGGTACGATTCTCAATCAACAAGATCAAAATGTAATATGTGTTTATGCAGCTATTGGTCGTATGATTATTTGAACTTGGTTAATGCACTAAGTTTCCATCCCTTAAGATTTATTTTGTTTCCTTTATTGAAAAGAAAAATCTAACATAAAAAACTGTGCAATATCAATGCAATGTTTTGTTTTGGTAAGAAAGTGTTGCATTACAAATAGAACATTTGGTTTTCGAGATAATATAAAATGATAAATGCATACTTATGCAAGAATTTTTGCATTATATTATACGTTATAGAATATGCAACAGTACATGGAAATCAAGGATATGTGACTATATATAGATACATGCCCGCATGTACCTAATTAGTTCAGCATAAAAGAAAGAGAAACCACTTGAGAAAAAAGATTTCTTTGAAACAAAAAACACAGGACTCTCTTGCCTGCATTTTGATTGTGCAAAAACTTTCTTTCTTGTTGGTGAGAAGTCCTTTGAATTAATAGTTCATTGATGAAAGCCATAATTTTTTTTTTCTTAATCGAGTATGGCCATCGATTCACAAGCAGGTTAAAAATCAATGATGAGAATCTCCGATGGATATGTGAGCTCTCAAATCAGCTTCAGATCGCAAGGTAACATATGCAGAAGATGGGGAAGGAAAATCCATGAGTATGTCTACAAAGTATATCAAAAGCTCAAGTATGATCACTTTGTAAGGATCGAATCATGGTGAGAAGACGAGAAGAGTTATGATTGATGAATGTCTGGTATGTATTAAGTAGTAAAAAGAGTCTCAATCGTCTTTCGTCGCCCTTTACTCAATAATCCCTCAAAGAAAGCAAGTAGCAAGTCAGTCTGCGCATAGCATACTTTTTCAACTATTCTCCTTTCCTTGTTGAAGGGGAATGGAAATCAAAACTTCAACACGTATGATCGCTTTGTAAGGATCAAATCATGGTGAAAAGATGAGAATTGAGTTATGATTGATGAAAGTCTGGTACAAAAGTGGAAGCTTGACATCCTTCACTGGAGTTTATAAGCCATACTCTAATCGGGAAAGATTAGAATTTTGGGAGGAGGTATCTGCAGTCAAGGCTTTATGGAATGATTAATGGGTGGTACAGGGTATTTCAATGTATGCAGTTATGAACCTGAAAGATTCAATTGCATTCCAAGGTCGAGCACCATATCTATTTCTCTGTTTATATCAGTAGTCTTGTCCTATGATTTCTGTTACTCCCCGTTGTTTCTTGAGCTTTGGTTATCGCATTAATTGACTATTGTTGTTGTTTCTTGTTTTCTCAATACCATGTAATGCTTTCCGTATTATTTGCTGTGTCCGGTTTACTTTTTTTTTTTTTTCAAACTGGTTTAACATCAGTCACTTGAGGAAAAGGTATTTTAGAAACAACCTCTCCTCCTGCACAAGGTAAGGATAAGGTTTGCATACACTCTACCCTCTGTAGACTCCACCTATGGGATTATACCGTGTATGTTGTTGTACGAAGGTCAAGAGCTATGAGGAGCTTTTCTCTAACTTTATTTAGGGCATGGAATTGATTGATCTCCTATAACAAGGAGCTTGCTACACCTGGTTTAGTGGAGAAGAATCTGCTCAAGCTTCCAGAAATTCAGATTCCTAATCTCTAATGAATGGAATGATACTTTTGGCTCTATAAATCAACTCTCTCCTTACTTTTAAAACTATCAGGTGTGATTGGTTTTCAGTTTCCTACCTGACTATCACAAAATATTATTGCACGCCTTAACTATCAGTTTTTTGCTTTTCCTACCTGAAATTTTAGGCTCTTTCACTCTATTTTAATTTGAAAACATGTGCTACAACATGAAGGCTGGACATTCTAAAACTTCGTTAGCTCTTTAGTTTTGTATATTTTGTAATCTCTATGCACCTTCTTGGTGCCTTTTATGATATCTTACTAAGTGAAAAAATAAGAAGAGTACATGCACTAGCAACACTGGGATAAGGAGTAAATGACCCTTTACTATTTCAGTGTTATTCTTAACTCCTTTTTTTTTAAAAATTGATGAAGAAATTTATGAAACAATAGATCAGTAGGGTCAAATGAAAAGTTGAAAAAAGAACCAAGACTAGATGTCCTTTGTTTTGGATGAAGGATAATTGTTATAGTAATCCTCCTATTCACCTACTTCAACTATTTTTGAGCACCTCATATCTTATCCTTTTACGGTGTCAGAAGGCACAGATATGCTTGTTGACACATTGGTTAAGGTATAGTTCCAACTTCCAGGCGATAAGAGCAAGAATGCCCAAAAAAGTTGGTTATGTTTTTGCAAGACATTAATACATTTGATTTTTTTAATGAAAAGCCCCACAAGTAATTGGGTAAATTCACTAATCTAAAAAAAATAACAGCATTCTGAAAAAACAGTAGAAAATCATGTACAATATGAAGAAAGTGAAAATCAAACCAACAACCAGCAATACCAATTCTGGCACCAAGGAGGTCAGCTATGACATGTGAACTCATGTCGACTGATCTCTCTATTTCTTTTTCTTTCTTCCTTTTTTGCTTTGGGGGTTGAGGTAGGTTGGGGATGGGGGGTGTGAGAGGGTTGTTTTGACTTATTTTCAAAGACATCAACATAAATCTACAAGGTGATAAATTTATGAGAGTAATAAAAGAAACATTTACAGAATTTAGAGAAATCAATTGGTGGCCAAACTGTCTGAATCAACGTCATCAACAGTGAGCCAGTCACTGGAGTCCTCACCTTCGGAATCTTTATCCCGGTGAATAGATTGGCCAGCCTTCTGCTGACTACCTTGAGCTTTAGAGTTCTCATTTAGTTGAATCCATTCATGAGATTCACTAGATGAGGAAACTTTCTTTCTGTGTGTGGGCTTGCTTCCTTGTAGTCTACTATCCGATAGATCGGTATCATCATCCTCAAGATCACTGAAAGAAACGTCATCCTCGTTCTTGTCAGCATATGAGGTTGTATTCTTGGTCTTTTCATCTTCTAACTGCTCTTGACGTTTCTCGTCATGCAAACTATCTTCATCTTGAGAGGCATTTGCAGTCTCTACTGAAATATTTTTCTCCTCCAATTTACTATCAGACCCTTGCTGTCCACTGACCTTGACATCCATCTCAGATGCATCAACAATCTCAGAGTCCTTAGATTCTTCTGGCTGTGGATCTTTCTTACTTTGTAACTGCTGCAGAAGTGTCTCCCTTACTTCAACAATCTACAGCATAAGTCAAATTAACTTGAAAAAGATGATCAACAATAACAAAAACAACATATGTAATCCTACAAGTAGGGTGCGAGGATGGTAGGATGTATGCAAACCTTAGGTAGAGAGGCTGTTTTTCTTGAAAATGATGACACATGTCATCGTAAATTTTCATTCAAAAACAGTCGACAAAAGATTGCCACTTGCAAATATGAGAAAAGGGAAAAACAAACATGACCAAGAGAACTCTACATCTCCATAGAATAACACACCTCAACCCCACCCCCCAACATCTCCCAAACAAACCCCCTGAAAAAATAAGTGATTAAATCATCTCTTATCCCAACATGTTGGATCAGATGTAAGCCGTTGTAACCACCTGAAAAGTCAATAACTTGGGCATTTCAGGGAGGAAGAGCTATTGGGTTAAGAAAGTCGATAGATACAGCCATACAGGGAAGAGCATACTTTGAGGTTTAGGATCTTCGCGAGGCAAGACAGTTGAAGCCTACACTATTATTTACTGAACTCAAGCCAGTTGAAGCCTACACTATAACTTACAGAACAATCTTTCACAGGTGGTACAATACATCATTCTTCCCTCAATCTCAAATGCCAAGTCAAGACTTGGATCTTTTTTCTTTAGTAGCCTACACTTCGTACATTTTCCTTGGCATGATCTATACAGATACTCTGCATAATGCTGTAACTTTTCAATTCCATGAATGATGGCATCGGTATGTAGGTCTTCTCCAAATTGTCCAGGGTGTAACAATGATAGTAGACAACAAACTACTGTTAGATAAAACTACTAACCAACTGACCCAGTCAGTCCAAAACACCGACCGAAACGGTTGTTAAACTTACCACAAAATGTTTTTTTTAAGTTTAACCAACCGTCAGTATTCATAAAAAAATTATCTAAACCGACTAAGAATATTGACCATGTTGGTCGGTTTTTAAAAATAAATCCAGATCTAGTGGTCGACTTTCCATCCACCATTTTTCCTCTCCTCTCAAAAT